CTGCTTATTGATTAGTCAGAATTCACATGTGGGAAAATGCCAACGGAACTGCTGTTAGTAAACCAACCGGCAGACACAAAATGTCACTTTTTACTATGGAGCTACGACTGCACTGACTGATTGTATCCCTGCTCATAGTATACTATATAGTTTGTATACATTACTTTAGACAAACTATACATTTCCAGAATGAAGCGCTGCTTTGGCTGGAAGGAGGCGAGAACTACCTCTCCACCTCTATAAGGAGGTCTAGGTACACTTTTTTGATCTGCTTTTGATGCGCACTCGAGTACGATTGCTAAATTCACACATGCCAAAATGAACCGCAACAAGAGGGAAAAAGAACTCTAGTGGATTCAACCGAACTAAATGTGTGTTTAGTTAGTTTAAAGGTGTGAAGCACCCTTTCTGTGTACTCACACATGCAACGTGCATATTCTAATCTCAGCACCAACCGAAACTGAAACCAACTAGACTGAAACGCTGAGAATTGAACAGTACGCCACCGACAAAACAAACACGAGAGCAATTGCTACAAAGACACGAACGATTGATGTGCTCGCTACAAAAACACAAACGTGCAGATCACTGGAGACCACGGGCTCACAACAACGACAAGAGACACTAAGATAGGATGAGTGTCCGGCCTGAGAAAACTTGAGCCGAATCCTGACAAAAAACAGCATGGTGAACACTGTTGAATACGGTAAAGGCTATTTTTTTGCTTATTTTCAGCTTAAAATTTGGTGCATTCAAACCAATTTTTTTTCAATTGCTCCAGAAGTAGAATGGATTACTTTGGCCAATATGAGTGTGGGCTGAGTGTTTGAATGCTTACTAGAGGAGTTTCCTGTCTCTGTGAATTAAGGGGCACCAATAGTAAACAAACAAGAATTTCACATTCTTTCTAATAAATTAAGTTAGATTCAGCTCATTATTAAAGCCCGAAATGATCTGAAACATACGAGTTAGGTAGGCAAAACATCCAAAACTGTACATTAATTTCGTCTCCAGTAGTGAGAGTTGAGAGAATACAGTATTGTGCTGTTAGCTTAGCAAAATGCTAACAACAAATTCCACTGAAACCACTTTTCCATCCTTCGCAGAGTGTTATTTGTGTTAAAATACTATGTAAAGCATTGCAAATCAGTCTCTTATGAGCTTCCCCAACAGTTAAGATGCTGCTTTGGAAGGTTTTAGAACAGACCTCCCTCTGTCCATTCCCTCACTCTGTCTACAGTTTTATCCTCTTCCAATCTATCTGCTCTCCCTCCCTCCCTCTTCCGCAGCTCTTTCTCTCAGTCTCCTCCCTCTTTCCTCTGGATGGTAACTAGGCTGAGGTCAGCTGAGGTAATGGAGCACACACACACTCTTACACAGCACTACCTCTGCTCTGCTGTGCTGTCGGAGAAGCGGCTGCACTTTTCAATGCCCTTGAGGAGCGACCTCATTCAGGGCTCTAAGGAACAATCACAACACCAGAATATATATTCATATGAACATACAATTGAATAACTACTTCAGCAACTGATAAATTACTAAATTAGTTAATAATGTTTCAAGGCAGTAGCCATTATCTCAAACCCTCAGGCATGACATGACGACCATCTTGAAAGGGTGTGTTTTGCGTTAATGATCGGCTGATTATGCAACATCACACTTATCATCAAACATTAAGCAAATAGACTACAACTTGTGACAAGAAACATAAAAGTAGGTCATTATAGAAAATTATTCTGACTAGCACATTAGAATCAAGAATTGCAGAGTCCCATAATGAGTTAAAAGAGTAGTTCAGCCAAAAAATGAAAACTATAAACCTATAAGACATTCATTTACAGCAGAAAAAGAAATGAATGTATATAAATGAATCTTCCCTATCATTTTATACCATTTAGAACCATTTTATCATAGTGTTTATTCACTGACAAACATTTTTCAATGAACATATGCTAAAATAATAATGATTCTTGTGGAAGTTTATCATGTTGGTGCATCAATGTGTTGGTTGACTCAGTGGAAGGACAAAAATATCTCAGGTTTCATTATAAACGTCTTGTTTTGGGTTTCATGCATGAACAGCTTATGGGTTTGGAACAGCATGAGGGTGAATTATGAGGACCAAGGGTAATTCTGGGATATTATTTATATACATATATTTTGAGACTAGTAGGGTAGGGTTGTTGTATACTAAACACCACTCACTTGTTTTCTGTACACATGCAAAATCTTACTGTTTGCACTTGTATGCTTAAGTGCAAACCTTAAAAAACTACAACATATAATTTTACACCTACACTAACTATGATGCATTTTATATAAATATAAAATAGATTGAAACAATAACAATGCAAGCAGCAATGCATTCAGCTGCAGGTTCATTTTATGTCATACTAATTTCACAATCACCAGCAATCTAATCCTTGCAGATCGCTGGTAAAAATGCAAATCGCTAAAGAATAAAAAAGACTACAGATGCAGTCATGCACCACGCACTCATATCTGTTCCGGTTGTCCGCAGATTGCTAACACACACAGCTGAAGCTGTTCAGAACTGATTACATGGACTTTAAAAGCAGCACAGACACACACTAGCTGCTGAGTCTTGTTTAACTGTACTATGACATTATGACATGTTTCCATTGCCTTGCTTTGCTGTGTTTTGACCCTCGCTTTGTTTGTTTGTTTGTGGACATTGTCTGCCGCCTGTTTATGACTAAGACTCTGGATTTGCCTGTATTATTGCCAATCATCATTGCTTGCCTGACCATTCTCCTAATATACCCTGCATTTGGATCCGCGCTCCTTTGTCCAGCGTCCCCTTCACATTACAACTAAAATAATAAAAATAATAACTACATATAAAATACTCCATATAAAATACTCCATCGTCAAAATTTACCCCTAAGAAATGGGACAGCACTACAACACCTGTACACGTCATCAAATGTCATCGCGATCATCATATGTAGAAAGTGATCGCTATGACATTTGATGACGTGTGCTGTAGTGATTCCAGTTGCGTTTTTTTTTTTTTTTTGGTATTTATCTTCAGGAAATCACCAAAGGCTACGATATCATGTTATCATAACGATAGAATGTGGCAATAAGATCTGCTGATCTGAAAGTATGTGAAAGATGTGAAAGTATGCTGTAGGACTGCTATACAGGAGTTATTATTATAGATTATTGATAGCGAAATTTAGCATTTTTAAGCATGTTGGTAAACAGGAACGCCATTATGTATGTGTTAAAATATAAGCTTGTCTGATGTAAATATTTGTAATAATGACAAAAAAATGCTAATTTGTGCATCTCATGACTTCCGTGTGCAACCATGCTGCCATTGTAGATGGTGTATTCTGGGAAATTTTCTTACCGCTTGGTTTCGAGTATGGTCCTGAAGAATTCGTTTTTAAGAGCTATTCAGCCCTTTCCCTTAGCCCTGTGCCTTCAAGCTAAAAAGAATTGAGACACCCCTACCCCTTCACGTGAACACACAAAACAAAGGGTCAGAATAAGGGGAAGGACTAATGGGTAGAATTAGGATTGGGCCTATAGATATTCAAAGACTTGTTAAATTGAATGGTGAAAAGTTTCATATCACTTAGTTGCTCTAAGTTTTCTCTGATCTTCCATTTTTTTTTTTTTTGTTACAACGCCTTCTTGTTGCCATTGAAAAAGTCATAGAGGAGACTGATATCATGAGATACTTTGTGCAAGCACATTAGCTGGAACAAAATCAAAAAGAACATGTTTTAAATGTAACTAGAGCTTAAGCAAGGTCTTTTCACATTTTGGAACTTTTGGTAACTTTTCAGATAGGACTTGGTTTTGGATAAATTGCTTGGATGTGATGCAAATATGGCCATCAGACAAACCCAATAAAAAATGTATTGCAATTGTTCACACATTATATTATTCAAACTGCATTTGTGACTAAATAACTGCACATATGTAGATGTCATAACAGGCTAATAATACTTAGATACACACACCTTGTCCTCTAAAGTTGGCTCTGATCTTTACCAGTATGAATTGAAGAACATGCTAAAAAACACAAACTAAAAGACAGAGACGAGTTGAAGCCTGCCGCCAATTTCAAAGGATATTGAACTATTGACTTCCATCTACACGTTTTTTTTTAGAGAGGCTGGGCAGGAGTTAATTAAAAAGTTCATTGTCTAGTGTATAAAAAAGTGCTACAACTAAGGGAATCTTTATGCTTTCAATTTTCATCTGAATATCCTTCAATTCTCTATGTAAGTGACAGCATGCCAAAGATGTTGACTATAGATATTTCAAGAAAAAAAGCTGACTGATACCACCAAATAAATGATTTGACAAGGTTTTGTTAAGTTTTCTTTTAGGGTACATTAACTGCAACAATGTTCAGAGCCTGACAGGTGTTTCTTTGAATAGATTTTGAAGGTCTCTCGTGTTTTTTTTTTCTTCTGTTACACATGCTCTGTAGAGTCTCGGATGCGCCTGTTGGCTTAATCAGCAATTTGCACCTTTCTGAAGATGCTGTGATAGCGATGTGTTGAAGCTAATACAAATGGCCCACTTAAAGTCCAACTCCCTCAAAGCATTAACAACTTTCACATGCCTTATAAGATACGAGTTATCCCACAGGACACTGCTACCTAAATTTAGAGGGGCAAAATCTAAATGTCTGACATCTTTGTACTACACAGCCTTATACATGTGTAGTATATGGCTAAAATTAGTTTACTATGACTAATACATTATAAAAAATGTTCAGATGTCCTTGTTTCCAGTTAACATTTAAAGAGGTTTATAGTACAGAAGGGTGTCTAGTGAAATGCATATCTCCCAATCCTCCAAAATCAAAGCAATCTCTATGAAATATTATAAGTAAACCAATCATAAATTTCTTCTTTTTTAAATTGGCCTTTTTGGCAAGAAATAACTCCGGTAATAAGAAATTAAGGCATTTTTGAACATGGTTGTAAAGTGAGGAAACAGATGAGTCTTACCTTCTACCGCTCTTTTGAAGAAAACTTTGCAACTTCCACATGTAACAACCCCGTAGTGGCATCCTGACGCCTCGTCTCCACACACCAGACACACTTTGGCTGTCGAAGACGTGTGCCTCAGCGACGCACTGAAATAAGAGCAAATAAATTCCAACCTGTAAATTGTGCTTGAGATATAAGGTGCAGGTGTTCTCATGGTCACAAGTAGTTCTGTTGTACTGTATGTGTTGCATTTGCAGTTCAGGAGTAACTTGAAAATTATAGAAACAGCCTAAAGCTATTGAGATTCAAAAAAAAAAAAAAAAAAAAAGTTCAAGATCTTGGAAAGTCAGAAACAAGGTATATGGAATTAAATCAGCAATCTTTTATTTGATAAAGTTACTTCAAATTTGAAACCATATATATATATATATATATATATATATATATATATATATATATATATATATATATATATATATATATATATATATATACACATATATATACACACTTTGGGCTATTAAGCAACAATCTAATTTCTAATCTATTCAATCTAATTTCTAACAATCTAATAATCTATTGGTAAATCAACTTTAAAATATGTGCCACACTCTAGAAATTGAGCAATTGCATTTACTGTGTGCTATTAGTAAATACATGTACATACATATCTTGTACATAATGATTCGTTTTAATTTTTAAATGTATTGAATATTCATTCAAATATTTTATGCATGTCTGGTACTTATTTTCATTTGGAAGACAAAATTATTATTATTATAAACAATTATATATATTTTTATAATTGCATAATTAGGATTATTAGACTAATATTACCACCATGTCACTGACCTGCATTATATTCCAACAGAAAGCATAAAAATAATATAATGCCCATGAATAACACCGCAGGTCTGTGCTAACTTTGTCCTGCTCTGCAGGGCCATTTGAGCACAACCATTTTAGCGCTGCAGAAATCACGTAATTCCCACATTGTTACTGGGCACCCAAAGGGCATGGCATATGTCACTGACTCATAACGTATGCCTTGCCATTTCGCTCCAGATCAGAAGAATGGTCCATTCAAATTCCTCAACTACAGTACCTAGAATTCACCTATGTACAGTACACTATTAAAGTTATACCTACACTAGTGATTTCTGATGGTTTATGTGACACTAAAGACTTAAGTAATGATGCTTAACGTTTAGCTCTAAATCAAAGTAACTAATCACATTATATTTAATGAGAATACAGCTTTTTTGAGGACCACTATTAATCATATTATTATGTATTTTTGATAATAGGCTAATTTTAGAACTTTGAGGTTTGATGAGTTGAAGTTTAGATTTTTTAAATCCATTCAGATGATCTCTGAGTTTTGCGGGAGCACTTAGCTTAGCATAGATCATGGAATTGGATTATACCATTATTATCAAACTCAAAAATGACCAAAGAGTTTTGATAACTTGATAAAATGATAATACGCAGCAACTTTAACCAATATAATTCGCTTGCATAGGTTACCTACTGTAGCTGGGGACAATTGTAGCCATTGCATAATGTCATTGTGCCATTGTACGACTGCAAAGATCCTGGAATGAGAGTATAATTCCTAGCCATACATACCAGCCTAGAAAATATTAACTTTTCATTTTCCGTCGATCTTCTTAAGTGGGGTCGCACACCGGATGCGCCGCTCAGCATTGTGCTGCGACGTGCATGTTGAACGCACGTTGTTTAAAATGAAATTATTTAGTTGGCGCTCTTTGGCACAGCAGAAATAAAATTTAGAAAGGTATAAAAAACATAAAATATGAACAGTCTCCTGAGTCATAGCTTGGCTCCGTGAACGGCTGCTGACTTGCGACACCTGTGTGCGTACCCAGATAGAAATCTATGTTTAGAATTCTAAAATGCATGGCGCTACATGGTGCGCCACTGAGTGACACATCTGGTGTGTGACCCCCTTTAGAGTCAAGCTTTAAATGGTAAGATTATCAAAACTTATTGATCATTTTTGAAGTGAAATGTTAATGGTCTAATCTGATTCAATGGACTATGCTAAGCTAAGCGAAAAATTTTGTGGCTGAATGGATTGAAAAATTGTAAAACTCAATTGTCTAGCTCTAGAAGAGTTGTTCAACTTTTACAAAATGTGTAGTGTTCCTTTAAATTACAAAAAAAGTTGATGCCAATAGCCTTGTGGCTAATGCCCCATTTCCACTGAGTGGTATGGTATGGTTCAGTGAGCAAACATTTAGCACTGTGGTGCTCATGGTGACCTGAGTTCGATTCCTGGCTTGTGGTTCTTTGCCAACACTTCCCATCTCTCTGCTCGCAATATTTTTCTGTCTGTAACCTTCACTGTCCTATCCTAATATGGTAAAAAATCCCTAAAAATAATGATATATTATAAAAATATTACAGTTTATTTTTTTTACTGAGCAAATTTTATCTTAGAAAAGCATAGAAACAATCTGATTCCACACCTCTGACAAATGGAGTACTCTGCTCAGAGTTCACACAGAAATAAAAACCACACCACATCAATTGGCATCAGAGAAATCAGAGAATGTTAAAAACTGCTGGAAAAAAAGAGAGATTTTATATCCCATGCCCTCCAAACTGAAATTGAAACATTGAAAATGAAGCGCACACACTCCAAATAGTCTGGCTGACTTGGCAGAAATCTGATTAAAATGCCCAGTGAAACCTGACATATCCAGAGCGGCCAGAGCCTCTTAGAAAGATGCCCTGCGGACCGGCTGAAAGTCACCCCTTTGACAAAAACTACACATAGCGGAGCTCAATTAAAATGAACAGTACGACTGGAACAATACTTTAATAGCGCGATAGGCTTAGCACGTAGCTCCTGCGCCCGTTCTTTGATAATGAGCGTGCTCTTGTTTTAATCAGTAGTGCGCGGTAATTGTCTGGTTAGCATTCTGACAACATCCTCCAGTCTTAACAAGCCTCTGGGTCTCCAAAGCACGTTCCCTCTCAAGGCCTGGTGCGGGTAGTAACTTCACCGCATCTTTCTGACACAGTCGAGAGAGCTGATCTAATTCTCCCTCGTCCATCTAAACACACATTCAATTTGTTAGCCGGTTAGCAGGGGTCTCTTGCGAGGGAGTCGATTGGCAGGCCGCAGTGAGCTAATCGTCCCGGCGGCTCCGTATCGCTCTCTGTGCATGACGTGGAGAGGTCTGGCTGTATTAAACTGTTCAGCGAGACCCTCTCTTTCTCTCCTTCTACACCCAGTCTTCTTTGCGATGGAGTAAAAGATAAAAAAGACAAAGCAAAGGGCTGACAAGGTGACTTGAAGTAGGTCAGCATTCATTGTTATGAAACAGATCGCCCTTATGACCGGCATATACCGCGAGATTGCTGCTGTTTTGTGCATGAGAGAAAAACACCAATTAATGTCTGCATCTTTGGCTGGTGGATATTCAGATAATGAAGCATACGTTTAACCTGCTTTTTCTTTCTCAGAAAATGTTAAAGAGAAAAAGAAATTTGTGTCAGGATTTACTATTATGAGTTTCTTCTGTTGAACTCAAGAGAAGATACTATGAAGAATTTTGGAAACTGGTTAATCATAAGAAACTCAAAGGTTTGAAGTCATCTCAGTAAACAGTGAATACATGTAATACAATAAATAATAGTACGGCAGTGTGGTGGCGCAGTGCGTAGCGCTGTCACCTCACAGCAAGAAGTTTGCTGGTTCGAGTCCCAGTTGGGTCAGTTGGCATTTCTGTGTAAAGTTTGCATGTTCTCCCCATGTTTGTGTGGGTTTCCTCTGTGTGCTCTGGTTTCCCCCACAAGTCCAAAGACAAGCGCTATTGGTGAATTGGGTAAGCTAAATTGTCTGTAGTGTATGAGTGTAAATAAGAGTGTATGAATGTTTCCCAGTGATGGGTTGCAGCTGGAAGGGCATCTGCTATGTAAAACATGCAGTATGCTGGACAAGTCGGCAGTTCATTCCACTGTGGCAAACCCCTGATTAATAAATGGACTGAGCCGAAAGAAAATGAATTAATGAATAATAATAATAATAATAATAATAATAATAATTATAATAATAATATAACATATTAATCCAGCTAATAACTATGATAATAATACTAATACTACTACAACTACCACTACTACTACTACTACTACTACTACTACTAATAACAACAACAACAACAACAACAACAACAACAACAATAATAATAATAATAATTCATTTTATTTATAGGTGCCTATTACTACACTTAATTTCACATTACAAGTAATCAGGAGTAAGCGGATTTTGGGATGGAATTTACAATTCTGTAAACTTTCACCACAGCGGATGTCTACAATGTAAAAAAAATGTTGTAAAATGTGCAGTGTTACTGTAAAATTTACAAGTGCACTGTAAATTAACAATTACACTTGTGGTGTAAAGCTACAACACAGTTGTAATTGTTCATTGGTGTGCTTGTAAACATTACAGCATTACTGTAAAAAAATGGCTAGTAATACTGTAAAATTTTCAGCATTTTTTACAGTGCATTTAACGTTGCAAACATCCGCATATGTCATCTGTTTAAGTGTCACGAAGCAACACTTTTTGTATTTGTGGTCAATGACTTTACATGTACATGTACATTTACAAGTCAGGGCCCTATCACACACCCGGTGCATGTTTGGCACAATGTGTTGCTATATTCAGACCAATGCTTCCCTAATTTTCATGGTTTGCCCCACGTTGTTTAAACAGAAAAACAATTTTTGTCACTTTGTGGACTCATCGATATGCCGGTCTAGAAAGGAGGTATTCTAAGGCGCATTGTTGAAGAGTATTTTGAGGAACTAAAATAGACTGCGCAATTGACCAGCTAAAGGCGGGTCTAAAGTCCAGTGCAGAGCGCGTTAGTTGTCCAAACACTTACATATTGCTTAATACACACAGGATGCACAGCAATACACAATTACCTTTACAAATGAAAAATAAATAAATAATAAATAAAAAAACTAAAGGATTAAAATAATACAAAAAATATTATTGTCTACATAAATATAAAAACCACTACCTCCATGCCTTGATCATCTTGTTTTTTTTTCAGTTTCTTTATGACAGCTTACTTTTGTATAATTGTACTATTATTATTAT